TCATGGTTGATTTCCGTGTGAAAATGTTATCAATTATTAATAATTTATAAATATTATTAGTCAATTTTTTAAGTCGTAATTTAATTAATTTTCACTAAGCATGTTTGATTAACTGAAAAATATCCAAACGTGAAGAAACTATTTATTATTATAATGATGGAACATCAGTGATGTGATAGTTTATGTGGAATAATAGGATTGGACAATTCACTTTTTTTATGAGAGAGAGAGAGGAGGAGGAGGAGACGTGATCTCAATATGGAGAAATGTGAGGGGTAATAAATAACATCATTCCGTTGTTCCATAATCATCCAAAAGTTAAACATTTTGTTTCTAAACATTAACTTTGTCTTATTTGAACCAAAAAAAGTAGTTTACTTTTTAATAACATTTACTTAATTGTTAAAATTGTTTAAAGAATTTGTTCGTCACAGCACCATCTCCATTTATTAATTTTATACCAAGTGTAATTATTTTATTTTATTTTGACTATTTCATAATGTATTCACGTACGTATACGTCACTGTATGAGATCATATAGATAATATACCTAAAGTGGGACCAAATTATTTTCACTTCTATAAACAAATCTTGCGTCCGAAAGTTTAGCAAAGATTTAAGAATTTCATAGTGCTCTTAGTTTCCTCAAAGACACGACAAACTGCTTTTGTTTCGAGTTCTTGAACTTTATAAGAAAGCTATCACAAATTTAAAAATTAATTTTTAAAAGAACTCATTCGATAAAAAAGCTTTTAGGTGAAGTCATGTAAGGTCGATTATGCTAAACAGAACCTCAATACTAAATCTTAGTGTAAATTACACTGTCTATCCAACAATTTCACTAATAAAATAGATTATCAGAGTAAATCTAGATAATTTGATATTTTTTTTGGGTCATAATCATGATCGATCAAAGATTATATATTATTGGAGAAGATATTATGTTCAGTAATGCGTATAGTTATATATAGTACTTTTAGTGTTACTATTTTACCAATTTTAGCTACCGTCTTTAAAAATTAAAATCTAAATTTTAATTTAAGTCAAAGTTAACGATTAATTTTATTCACACATTTTAGGAGACTCAATACATTTCAACCTCATATTTCATCAACTTTTCTCAAAATCTAATTTTAATCTTCATAAAAAAGGAGCTCTACAGGATAATAGTTTGTAATTATTAAGTCAATTCTTTAAGTCATAATCAAATAATTTTTCAAGCATGGAAATGCATCAATGATCAAAATTCAGGCTAAGGTTAAAATAAATAAAAGTTACTTAAATATCTTCAAACATAATTGGATATTTTATTCTATTTTCAACAACTTGCATAGTATTTAAAGAATTTTGCTTACTGGGGTGCAGAACAGACAAGAGAATAAAACAGATTTTAACTTATTTATATTTCTTAACCCTGTTTGATTTAACTAAAAAATATTAATAAAAATTTAAGTCAAAATTAAAAATTAAAAATTAAAAATTAAAAAATATTTTTAATTACGCAATTAATGGGAACCATCATTTTTATCAATTTTTCAATCACACATTTTATCAACTTTTATTAAAATCTAATAAAAATATTCTTCTTTTAACTAAATTAAACATGAGTTTAATATTATTCATTTGTATCTAATCAACTTTACGAAATCTTGCTACTAAAATTGGAACAAATTATAATCAGATGTATGAATAAATCCTATGTCGATCTTGGCGAAAATTTAAGAAGTTGTTTCTTATTTTCAAAGCTACAACGAAACAAAGATCCGTTTATTCTACAGGCAACTACCCAATACCTTACTTTCTTCAATACTTTTATGGTTATTGATATTATTTAATTTTGAAAACTATCTGTATTAATTTTAATTAGTTAAGAGTTTATGGTATGACTATTAAATTTTAAATATTAAATCTTACTTAGCCTTTATTTGGTATTGATTAAAATTTTGATTTTAATCTAAGTCAAAGTCAACAATTAATTTTGACTACATTTTATCAACTTTTATAAATATCTGCTAAAAATTCGTTTATAATCCCCACCAAATAAGAGTTTAGATCGATCACTTTTGACGTGTTACATTGATTTATTTATTGGAGAAACTTATTGTAATGCTTGTTAATGTGTTTAGTCATGGTTGATTTCCGTGTGAAAATGTTATCAATTATTAATAATTTATAAATATTATTAGTCAATTTTTTAAGTCGTAATTTAATTAATTTTCACTAAGCATGTTTGATTAACTGAAAAATATCCAAACGTGAAGAAACTATTTATTATTATAATGATGGAACATCAGTGATGTGATAGTTTATGTGGAATAATAGGATTGGACAATTCACTTTTTTTATGAGAGAGAGAGAGGAGGAGGAGGAGACGTGATCTCAATATGGAGAAATGTGAGGGGTAATAAATAACATCATTCCGTTGTTCCATAATCATCCAAAAGTTAAACATTTTGTTTCTAAACATTAACTTTGTCTTATTTGAACCAAAAAAAGTAGTTTACTTTTTAATAACATTTACTTAATTGTTAAAATTGATACACTTTCTCAATCTCCATTTTCAATTTGATCACTAGAACTAGGAGTAATGCTATTCATATTGACGACTAATGCCAGCAAACCATATATGCAATTTTGAGAAGGAAAAAAGTTGACCAATTAAAGAAATCATTCATTTTAAAAAACTCTCTCATTTAAACAAAATTACTTATAAGTTGCCGTGCATGGCTCATTCACAAGCCATCAGCATATAGCTTACGAAAAATACACTTTCTCAATCTCCATTTCCAATTTGATCACTAGAACTAGGAGTAATGCTATTCATATTGACGACTAACGCCAGCAAACCATATATGCAATTTTGAAAAGGAAAAAAGTTGACCAATTAAAGAAATCATTCATTTTAAAAAAACTCTCTCATTTAAACAAAATTACTTATAAGTTGCCGTGCATGGCTCATTCACAAGCCATCAGCATATAGCTTACGAAAAAAGATTATATATTATTGGAGAAGATATTATGTTCAGTAATGCGTATAGTTATATATAGTACTTTTAGTGTTACTATTTTACCAATTTTAGCTACCGTCTTTAAAAATTAAAATCTAAATTTTAATTTAAGTCAAAGTTAACGATTAATTTTATTCACACATTTTAGGAGACTCAATACATTTCAACCTCATATTTCATCAACTTTTCTCAAAAGCTAATTTTAATTTTCATAAAAAGGAGCTCTACAGGATAATAGTTTGTAATTATTAAGTCAATTCTTTAAGTCATAATCAAATAATTTTTCAAGCATGGAAATGCATCAATGATCAAAATTCAGGCTAAGGTTAAAATAAATAAAAGTTACTTAAATATCTTCAAACATAATTGGATATTTTATTCTATTTTCAACAACTTGCATAGTATTTAAAGAATTTTGCTTACTGGGGTGCAGAACAGACAAGAGAATAAAACAGATTTTAACTTATTTATATTTCTTAACCCTGTTTGATTTAACTAAAAAATATTAATAAAAATTTAAGTCAAAATTAAAAATTAAAAATTAAAAATTAAAAAATATTTTTAATTACGCAATTAATGGGAACCATCATTTTTATCAATTTTTCAATCACGCGTTTTATCAACTTTTATTAAAATCTAATAAAAATATTCTTCTTTTAACTAAATTAAACATGAGTTTAATATTATTCATTTGTATCTAATCAACTTTACGAAATCTTGCTACTAAAATTGGAACAAATTATAATCAGATGTATGAATAAATCCTATGTCGATCTTGGCGAAAATTTAAGAAGTTGTTTCTTATTTTCAAAGCTACAACGAAACAAAGATCCGTTTATTCTACAGGCAACTACCCAATACCTTACTTTCTTCAATACTTTTATGGTTATTGATATTATTTAATTTTGAAAACTATCTGTATTAATTTTAATTAGTTAAGAGTTTATGGTATGACTATTAAATTTTAAATATTAAATCTTACTTAGCCTTTATTTGGTATTGATTAAAATTTTGATTTTAATCTAAGTCAAAGTCAACAATTAATTTTGACTACATTTTATCAACTTTTATAAATATCTGCTAAAAATTCGTTTATAATCCCCACCAAATAAGAGTTTAGATCGATCACTTTTGACGTGTTACATTGATTTATTTATTGGAGAAACTTATTGTAATGCTTGTTAATGTGTTTAGTCATGGTTGATTTCCGTGTGAAAATGTTATCAATTATTAATAATTTATAAATATTATTAGTCAATTTTTTAAGTCGTAATTTAATTAATTTTCACTAAGCATGTTTGATTAACTGAAAAATATCCAAACGTGAAGAAACTATTTATTATTATAATGATGGAACATCAGTGATGTGATAGTTTATGTGGAATAATAGGATTGGACAATTCACTTTTTTTATGAGAGAGAGAGAGGAGGAGGAGGAGACGTGATCTCAATATGGAGAAATGTGAGGGGTAATAAATAACATCATTCCGTTGTTCCATAATCATCCAAAAGTTAAACATTTTGTTTCTAAACATTAACTTTGTCTTATTTGAACCAAAAAAAGTAGTTTACTTTTTAATAACATTTACTTAATTGTTAAAATTAATACACTTTCTCAATCTCCATTTCCAATTTGATCACTAGAACTAGGAGTAATGCTATTCATATTGACGACTAACGCCAGCAAACCATATATGCAATTTTGAAAAGGAAAAAAGTTGACCAATTAAAGAAATCATTCATTTTAAAAAAACTCTCTCATTTAAACAAAATTACTTATAAGTTGCCGTGCATGGCTCATTCACAAGCCATCAGCATATAGCTTACGAAATTTTACTACGCGTCAAGAAATAATTGGTCAATAAACAGATGTCCCCGCAATACTGTATCTTCAGAGAAGTTTCTGCTAGGGTTTACTTCAACAATATATTATACCAATATTATTATATTTGATTATGTCAGATACTTGGGCTCCAATTATAAGTTTAAAGTCTTCCATTTATGTGTATAAATACAATGTTCAGTCATCCTCTTCCTCACACATAAGTTATTTCAATTATAAAGTTCAACCATGACGGTACTTTTCTTCAACTCTTTTCTGGGTATGAATGTGTGAAAATATGTATACCACATGCATTAATCCTGTTGATACCTTTATGATTAATTGATTATGCATCTTTTCAGTTTCAACCAAAATCCCTGTTTGCTTCTTTCTCGTATTTTCTTCCATCTCGCTCTAATGATATGTTTGGTATTTTAGATTGGACAAAATTTTGTTTCAAGTTTACTTTTCAGTGTTTCGTATTGGCATATCGAGCCGTTTATGTTCTTTTTCTTACTCAATTGTGTATATATAATGCTATTATACATAAAAGTTTGGTTGTTCATGCAGATTGTGGAGATGAGAGTGCACATGGACTGTCTTGGATGCAAAAACAACATAGAGAAAGCCCTCAAAAAATTGAATGGTATGGCAATATGTTCATTAATTTCGTATTTTCAATAAAAATTAGTAAATTATCGTGAATAATATTTTGATAATTTTTTTCATACTTACCAGGAGTGGATAACGTTGACATAGACATGTACATGCAAAAAGTGACGGTAACCGGGTCGGTTGAACAAAAAAAGGTACTTAAAACCGCAAGGAAGACGGGACGGACGGTGGAGCTATGGCCGTACCCGTACAACCCAGAATATCATGGTTATGCTCAATCCTACTACAATCAATATTACACAAGTGAAAGTCCAGCTAATTACTACTATGGAAGTCCAACCAGTTACTCTCCCTCTACGTACAACTATCATGAGCACGGATATAACTACTATGCAAATCCAGCCAGTTATTATTCGAATTCCAAGGCTCCCTCTACGTACAACTATCGTAAGCACGGATATAATGGTCACAGCCATGGTTACTATCAGCAGCCACCTTCCTCTACCGTCTTTGATGAGCGGACCAGTTCAATGTTTAGCGACGACAATGCCACTGGCTGTTCTATTATGTGATGTCTGTGTATTCAAACAATGGTGATTTTGAGAGACTATGCTTCCTTTCTATCCCTCTTTCTAGTGTCTTATGTGTGTGGAGGTGCGAAGGGCTCAACCTGGTGTGGAAAGATTCGAGCCATTCGACCACCCAGAACAGAAAGTGTTGCTGTCAGCCACTGTCCCCAGCAGTTTTTCATTTTACTGAAAAAAAGGCTAAATAAAGCACGTGTGGCACACGTTGTACCTTGTCATGTCTGTGTTTTGCCTAAGACAGGACCTGTCTTCCTGTTTAACTCGGGTGTCCAAGGAAAAAAACTCGTATTACTGTTGCTTAAAAATATCTGTTCTACAATAGTCTTCATCCAAATTATGAATCTAGCAAAACAATTAAAAAATTGAATCCATACGTGAGCCTTTAATTAAACTAATAATTTGATATGACTTTCATCACTATTTGAGTTACCTATAAAATCAATAAAAATAACATGAAATTAAGCATCAAAAAAAGTTCAATGGACCAGAATAACTCAATTAAACCTCTGAATTTCAAATTATGAGGAAAACCGAAAATTTATATTTTGTTCCATTTGTTAAAATTATGAACTACCTTGAATCAATTCAGAGAGAACAGAAGAAGAAGAAAGAGATAAAACAATAATTTATTGAGTCACAAAAAACTAGGTTTCTAATGAAAATACACAAGTTCATATATTACAAGAAAAGTAAACAAAAAGGAAACCTATAAAAGAAGAAAACTAAATATTATGCAATAATATTATATATGGCTAACATATTATATATAGCTAACATTCTCCCTCAAACTCACGATGTTACAGTAAGAAGCAGTAAGAGTTTGTCAAACATGAAGCGAAATCGAACGATGAACAGACAAATGGTAGAGAAATGATGCTAGTCTGCAAATGATAGCTAATCACATGACAGTCAATCTCATTATCCTTCGTGCACTCATGAAATATTGAGTTGTGAGAGATGAATAGTACTTTTATTATCACAATACATAGGGGTTGGAGAGAATGAAGAAACACTCATTTTTGCAAGTAGCTAATGCAACCACACAATCTCAATGGTAGTAGATGCCATAACATGATACTTTGCCTTAGTAGAGTAACGAGAAACAACAATTTGCTTCTTATTCTTCCAAGAAATAAGGGAATCACCTAAAAATATACAAAAATCAATAGTGAACTTGCGATCAGTAGGGTTACTGGCCCAATCAGCATCAGAGTAGACACGTAGTACTAAAGAGAGGTTGAGAGAAACAAAAGATTCTGAAATGAAGTACCATAAAGATAGTACAAAATACGAACAACAAAGGCCCAGTGAACTGTCGTAGGAGCTAAAATAAATTGACTAACAATGTGAACAGTATAAGCAACATCGGGACATATGATGGTGAAATAAACTAGACATCAAATAATGGTGCGATACAAAGTGAGATCGATCAAGAACACACCATCAGAGGGTGAATATCAAGTGTTGGACTCAATAGGAGTATCAATAGTCTTAGTATCAATAAGTTGAGTACGCTCAATAACATCCATAGTATACTTGGACTGAAAAAGAAGCTAACTTCTAGGAGAAGAAGCAACTTTGATTCTCAAAAAGTAAGATAATGCACCTAAGTCCTTCATTTCAAAACAACAAGCCAATTCTGTTTTTAAATCTGGAATCCCATCATCATCTTCACCAATAATAATCATATCGTTATCATATAGTAAAAGTAGAATGCGACCAATTGAAGTGCATATAAAGAATAGTGTAGAGTCATGATGATTAGATATAAAACCAAGAGACAACGGTGAAAAATTTCTCAAATCAAACACGATGTGCTTGTTTAAGACCATAAAGTGCTTTCTTAAACCTGCAAACATATCTAATAGTGTGAGAAAGACTGGAAGGAGGAACCATATAATCCTCCTCTCGAAAATTTCCATTCAAAAAGACATTTTTGACATCCAATTGAGAAAGACTCCACTGATGAATAGATACAACTACAATAAGTGTACAAACAGTGGTTATCTTGACAACAAGAACAAAAGTCTCATCATAATCCATACCATATTGCTAATTAAAACCCTTAACAATCAATTTAGCTTTATAACTCTCAACTGAACCATCAAATTTGATTTCAATTTTATCAACCCAACGAAAACCAATATCATGTTTACCTAAAGGTAATGCAACCAAGTTGCCTATCTTATGTAGAGCAGAGAGTTCATCAGCCATAACCTGTTGACAAAGAAGATCCAAAATAACTTCTTTATAGGAGGAGGGTTTAGATAGCCTATGAATTGAGGTTAGAAAACAACAAAAGACTCAAAATAATAAGAACAACCAAAATTAGGTAACTTAGTGAACTTACGAATACGTTGCGGATATCAAGGAAGAAAGGGAACATGAACAGGATCAACGATCTTAGACGGTGCTAGGGAGGCCATATAAAGAGGAGGGGTATCATGAACAAGCGCATGTGCAATAGTACATGAAGAATTAACAGTACATGGGGTCAGAAAATTGGTTTGTCAATATATCAAAGAACAGATCAATATGAATGAAATCAATTTTAGTCACATCACGAGTATTATCAGAGATACAAAAGAATGGAATGTGCCCACGAAACACGATATGACAAAAAACATAAAAAAAATTTATTAATAGGATCAAAGCAGCGATAACCCTTTTGTCCTTGTCCATAGCCCAAGAAAACACAAATAGCAGAAAGAGATGTTAACTTACTAGATTTTACTTCAGGATGAAGAACAAAACAAGTACAGTCAAGGACTTTCAATGAGGAGCAATCAGGAATATGCCTATACAACATTTCAAATGGGTGTTAAGCCCGAAGTGTGGGAAGTTGAAATCTTATTAATTAAAGAAAAAGCAGTGAGAACTGCTTCTCCCCACAATTTACTTGGAACTTGGGCAAACAAGAGAAAGGAACGAGCAATTTCTATAATGTGCCTATACTTCCATTCAATAATACCATTTTGTTGTGGGTATTAGTACACAATGTTTGATTAATTGTGTCATCAAGAGCAAGCAATTCAGTGAAATCAATAGAATTATACTCTCTACCAAGTCACATGTAAAGCATTTAATTACAGCAAAATGTGAGTTTTAATAAGTGTTCTAAAAGAATGATAAATATAAAGAAAATCAGAACATTGTTTCATAAGATAAATTCAACAATAACGACTATAATTATCAATAAAAGATACATAATATATAAACCTTCCTTTTGTAGCAATAGTAGCAGATCCCCACATATCAGAATGAACAATATCAAATGGTGCAAAGAGTGAGAAAAACTACGAGGACAAGGTAAAGCAAAAAAATTTGGTTTATTTGCCACCAATACAATCCGAAATGTCACGAGTTTGTATATCTCCCAAATGACCCTTAGAAATTAAAATTTTCAAACAACTAGTGGAAAAATATCTAAGGCAAGAATGCCACAAATAAAAAATTAGAAGACGATGAATTCAAAGAGAAAGATGACAAATCAACATCAGATGCTACAACATATGGTAGTTTCAGATTGTCCAGAACATATGACCCTCCTTGTCTACAGCCTATCCCAATCAGCGTTTGAGATCAAGGATCGTACGTGTGTTAATAGAAATAAGATCCAGATTCACACATTTGGCCAATAGAAATAAGATTCAAAGTAAGAGCGAGAACACAATAGACGTCTGAGAGAGATAAATTATATGTGTTAATAGAACTAATACCTACTAAAGGTATTGGCGTGTCATCAGCAATCATGATAGACATAGATGAGTTAGAAGAACGTAAGTAAATTTTTGAGTTAGATGACGTGTGTTTGGAAGCACTTGAGTTAAAAGATCCATAAGGAAGAAGTATCTAAAAGATTTTGAAATGACGAAACCTCTATGAGTAGAGGCTGACATAGAATGTTGTTGTGTGGTTAAGAGCTTCTGAAAATGCTCCTCTAAATCAATCAACATAGGACTAGAAGAAGTTGGTGCTCCAAGTATAAACGAGTTACCAGGTGGCATGGTAGCAACCATGTTAGCATCAGGACAATAGGATCACAGCTATAGTTGTGGCTGTTGCTTTTTCAATAACTTAGGACATTGAGACTTTCAACGTCTCTATTGTTTGCAAAAGTTACACTCATCACTAGCAACTCAGACATAACCTTTGTTCTGATTCTGTGTGAACGATCGAGAAGGTACAACTAACACTAAGGTGCTAGATGGAGGAAGAGATACTCTTCATACAAGAGATTTCAAACGTGTTTCCTCAAGTACAAGTTCACGAACTACCGAATCAATTGAGAGAAGTAGAATGCGATGCAAGATGAATCCTCTAAATCCCTTAATTTTTCTACAAAATGCCATAAAAAAACTAAACCAATTGCTGTTACTTTTTAAAAGTAATATATTCCTCAAATACTTTCAATCTTGCTGATTCTATAAGAGCCAACTCATCCCAATATCCTACCCTGGGGAAGGATTTTCTCTTTTTCCGGCCATTGCGAACCAATCGATGGATTTCCATCATAGCTACCCAAACTTTCTAAATAGATCGGATTCTTATTCCTTTCTCCCTAGCCGAGAAGAAAAGATAGAATAAGAAAATTGATATGACTTATCGATCCATATAACCCTGGAATAATGGATGCACAGATCTATTCGGGTTTTTGATTAAATTCATAGCAATGTAAAACTCGAGAATACTTATAGCCTTCTGTTGTAAGGCAAGCACATCGATCTTCAACTGATACCATTTTGCAAAGTTAGACTTAGTGTATTCTCAAACTTCATTTGTTGTTTCAAACTTCACTGATTGTGTACCAATGGATTGTTCAACAGAATTATGAATCCAAGTAAGAATTTTCGTATTGTTTGACTCCCAATTTTCCAACTCTGTCACATAATTCTCAGCAGTGCTCTTGGATTTCACAACAGTCGCACTAACATAGCCCACAATCTTTTTTCCTTTAGAAAATTTCTTATCACTGTACTCTAATATGAGTAACTTTTACTATATAATTTGATACTAATGGATTGAAATGAATAATCTCTTTCAGTTGCCATCATAAAGTCAACAAATAATCAACTATGAATCAACAAAATCACACAATTTTAAAGAAAACTAACGACCACCAACTTACCACCACAAACTACAATCAGAATATACTGCACAGTATATGTTTAACCAAAATAATACTACAAAATGATCAGAAAATTTACCAAGAAACAAACTGCCTGTTGAAGTCGCATTGAAAAAATTGCTCACGCTCTCTCATGTGCCCAAAACGTCACTACGCGTGAATCCCACACGCTACCATCCGATGCCACGAGCTTACCTGAAAGATGCTTCTCAACCGCTGAACAAGAATCTAGTCAACATTTGCTCAGCCAGTCTCTGATTCGGTCGAAATCGTGATTTTTAGTTGTGGTCGATTAGGTATTTGCACAATTTCTTCCTACCTAGTTTCTGCTTGAATTTACAGGGTGTCAAAGTCAGAAATTTCACAAGTTCCAATCAAGAATCTGATACCATGTTAACAATATGAACTACCTTGAACCAATATAGTGAATCAATTCAAAGAGAAGAAAAGATAAGAGGAGAAGAAGAAAGAGAGAAAACAATAATCTATTGAGCCACCAAAAATTATGTTTCTAATGAAAATACATAAGTTTACATATTACAAGTAAACAAAAAGGAAAACTATAAAAGAAGGAAACTAAATATTATGCAATAATATTATATATATGGCTAACGCCATTATGTACAGGCGTAGAGAACTATAAACTGGCAGCAACATATGTAGAACCTTGTTGATTCTCCTGTTGCTTTATGTTGTCTGCAACATGAGCAACCACTCCTACCCCGGCATTATAGAGCCACTCATTTTTCACCTGCATTAAAAATTAAGAAATCAGATTACAGGGATGAATCAGTAGGAGACGTAGTAAAGGATAATAATATATTTCAGTAACTCTTACATTAATATTATTGTGTGCGAAAAATGGCCAGAATGCAGAGTGAAAGCTGACATCAACTTTCTTCCATCCTAGTCGTTGTAAGCCACGTATCATTTCCTCTGTTATAAATATGAACCCGTCATTCTCCTTCATTGTTGTACATAATAAAAATATTAACAGCAGCATGTTTGGCTAAGCTTAAAAACCATAAAAAGTCACTTTGAAATAACTTTTTGTTTTCATACATTGTTTGGATAACTTACCTTTTAAGGGGAAAAAAAAGATACTTATTTTGAATGGAACTCTTACATTAGAGTAAAAGTGAGCAACATATTTTCAACCTTGAGCCTTTCACCAACACAAAAAATTTATGTATTTTAAAATTTACTTTGTCGCACATAACTTTTAACACACAGACAAACACATGCTTTTAGCGTTTCAGTCGAAATTTAACAAGTACCTTCCATAGTTTCATGATATTCTACTGTATTCTGATTGTTGGGTTCATTTTGGGCAGCCTGTTTAGCTTTGGCTGCTTCCTCAGGGAAATGGGGACCCTCAGACGAGACTGGTGGACAGTACTCCACACTAACAACATGTTTATAGCCATCCAGTGACTGAAGAGGAGGCTGCCAAATTTAATACCAGAAATTTCAGGAGGATTGTGATAGAACAGAAAGATGTATGCCACTTTGATGTTCATGATTTTGCTAACGGATTTCCATTGAATAGAATCATTGAAACAAGGGACTTCTGACTAAGGAACTTCTACAAACAAAAGTGTATGAATTCATAAGTTTAGGGAGCACTTTTGAGATAGTTGTGATACCTTTTTTTTTTTTTTTTTTTTAACAGCACATTAAGATTTCATATATATATATATATATATATATATATCACCACAAACCGCAAACCGAGTACATTTTTTAACCATCATATCAAACAAATGAAAAGATACAACTTATATTGTGGCAAGCAACAAGAAGCACCATGGTTGTGAAGATTCTTATTTAAGGAAAATCATACGACTGAAGGGATTATTTCCACTTCCCAAGCTAAATGGAAGATATCTCATTCTAAATAAACCATAATTTTATATTTGTTTTTCTTTTTTTTTTTTTTTTTTTTTAACAGCACATTAAGATTTCATATATATATATATATATATATATATATCACCACAAACCGTGCAATCAGTACATTTTTTAACCATCATATCAAACAAATGAAAAGATACAACTTATATTGTGGCAAGCAACAAGAAGCACCATGGTTGTGAAGATTCTTATTTAAGGAAAATCATACGACTGAAGGGATTATTTCCACTTCCCAAGCTAAATGGAAGATATCTCATTCTAAATAAACCATAATTAAAGTTCCACCAAGATTCGAACTCCTGTGACTAAATTCAAAGTCCAATGTTCTAACTATTGGACCTTAAAACCAGCTTCTAAGAATGAATTACCAGTTGAGAATGTTTATTGCAACTTGCTTAGGTATCACTCTTCTTTGCCAAACCAGTGTATTTTTACATTAGGGATGATAGCAAGTAGGTCCCATACCTTTCCCTATGGTGCACTTGGTCCTCACCCAGTTTTTACCCACTGACGAATTATGTCCAGTTTCACCATGAACGGATGACATGTCAAATACAAGATAGTAAACAGAAAAAGAAAAAATGAGGGTCGCTACAGTGAAGTAAGCACGGATCAACGTCTAAGCCCAAAGTAAACACGCGATGAGCCCAAGGACGTATATACTGTAAAATGTAAAATAAAAGAAGGAAAAAATGATAGCTTCTTCCCAACCATCCAACCACCCACCGGACCAAACATCAGCCCCCTCCCTCACTCCACATCAGCCCCCTTCCCCGTTACCACCCTTCCATGTCAAATCCCCACTCACATCTTACTTCAACCATCCCTCCCTCATCAAAACCATGAAATCATTGGGATGGAATTATCAAGATTCTTACTGAAATGGAACAACATTGATAGAAAATCTGAAGTTTTTTAAGTTTTTAATGTTAACTTGGCTTTCCAGTTACCTTGGAAAAAGAATCAAGGTTTCACCTACATTTGGGAACTACCTCTGGATTCAAAGTCCAACGTTCTAAATATTAGAACGCAATACCATTAGCGCTAAGGTAAGGTGGATGCTCTTCAAATGGGATAAATGGAGTTCTAATGGATATTTTTCAGTTGTCTATGCCCAAACACCACCTGGTCTAAACCAAATGGCGAAGTATAAAGGTTTAACTGAGATTTCAACTCGGGCTATTGGATTCGAAGTACAATGTCCTAGCCCCTAGACCATGGAACCATGTTCAAGAAATGCCAGCCAATAATATTATTATTAGCAGGAAACAAGAACAGTTGCATACTTGGGCATTACTTTAGATCAAAAGTAACATATAAATTTGAAAAGAAAGTTCCCATCAACATTTGAACTCCAGTCGCTGAACTTAGAGCTCGATGACCTAATTGCTAGACCATAAAATCAATAATTGAGTTATGTTTTACTCTTTAGATCTACTATCAGGAAATTATTTGAAATAGGCATCAAGGGGACTTCACCATTGCACCAAGTAATGTTACCCACACCTCGACAAATGAAGCATACATATTTGCTAGACACAATTCAACATTCATTAAATTAAATAAGAATCAATTTCCATAGGGCCCATATTTTTTTGGCATTTGGTCCTCAGGCTTTCATTTTTGGAGCCCCTATTTATGGGTTCATCTAGTTTTATGATTAACTAATAACGTGCATAATGGTAACAACCAAAAAGAAAAATGAAAAATGATTTTTGTTCTTCCTACCCAGCCTGCTCACATCCCCGTCATTCACCCCTCCTCGCTAGACTGTGGAATTATCTGTTGAGAACCATGATTCTTATTGAAAGGAAACAATGTTAATGGACTACCAAAATTTTTTCATTTCTAATGTTAGCATGCTTTCAAGGTTCCACAAAGATTTGGGTTCTAATAACTTGATTCAAAAGAAAATGTTCTAAATATTAGACTACAGCTAGTTGTGATGATGGAACCTGATACGACTTTTCAAATGGCATTAATAGAATACTGATGGATATTTTCGGTTTCCTATGCTGAAAGCCTGAACAACATCTGGTCTAAACCAAATGGCAAAAAAAATAAAGGTTCCACCGAGAACTTGGGCCATTGGATTCAAAATTCAATGTCCTAAACCTAAACCATGGAACCATGTTAAAGAAAGGCCAGACGCTAATATCCTTATATACGGTTAACGCAAAATGTACGTGCGAATTACTCCCTATCGAAATCACCATACATTTGATTTTAACAATGAAAGAAAAAGTTTCCATCAGCATTTACACTCTGGTCGTGAATTCAGAGCCTGATGTCCAGATCATAGACCATAAACCAATAACTGAGCTAAGGTTTCCTATATAGATCTTTTGTACTAGGAATTCACTTGAAATGGATTACAGAATGTTTAAAAATTCAGTGCTACCCCAGGATACAAGGGTATGAGATCCTTCTAGGATCCTTTAAATCAAAAGAGAATCTTTTATATCAATTTTGTTATTTTAGTATTGTATTTAAAATAATTTCCAATTTATATTTCACATTTCAAAACTTCAAATGAAGTATCACAATTTGCAATTTAGGCCATGTTTAGCCATATTTTTTCAAAAAAATACATTCTTAAATAGTAACTTGATATTATTTCAACCACACATTCTTCAATAAAATAATATTATACGCAAATTCAAAACTTTTCATTATTTTTTAACCACACATTTTCCATCAATATACTATTCAAAAATGCATTCTAAGGAAAATAATGTGGCTCAAACAAGGGCTTAATGTGCTATAAATTTACAATTAAATATATAAAATACTTATCTCTGAACTGAAAATACATGTAAAATTATCAATATATAAATTTCTAGAGTAATTTTAAGTTTATAAGACGTAGCCAAGTATCCGTGCCTAAAATTTGGATCCTTTTTAGCTGTATTTCCATATCATAGACTTTGGAGGCCGCCCGGGGGGGACGAAGGAATCTGCCTCCTAGAAATGTACCCACATAGGACACCCACGCCCGAATCCAAGCAACATAGCTCGGATATTTTCATTTTCGAATGAGCAAATATCATGGCCCTACCAAGATTTGAATCAAGGAGACTGCAAATGCCCCAAGCTCTTGTGCGCAATGAGAAATACGTCATACTATTAAAGTTTTATCTTCTATTTTAACCCAAAAAATACTAGCAGCAAGACCTTCTCATTGATTCTAAAAATTAAATCATAGGTAATTATGAAGTTCAGACCCATATCTAATCCACAATGACACTTCCCAAAATGAATAAGATTTTAAAACATGCCTGAAAATCTTTTACGTTCTGTAATTAGAAGCTAGTCTTAACATGATCAGGCTATACCACTAACGTATTCGCAAAAACCAGTTTGAGTATTTCCAATCAAAACTATACCTTCCAACTTTGTCTTAACTGAACAGTTCTATGGTTGCATGAGAAATATTATTAAATTGTTAATTACCTTGATAAGTTCTGTCTCCCTTCTTATGGATGATGTGCGCCAACCAACCATATCTGGATTGTGTTAAGAACTTTAACGATGAATGCTACAGATAATAAGAGAACAGTTGAATAATAATAAATGAAAAGCATTCTCCATGCTAATTCAATAAGACTATGCATAGGATACGGTCATAAGAGACATTAGCATAAAGAAGGCGACATCTGAAAGCACCAAGGGCAGATCTGCAGGACCGCATAAGATGCAACAAACTTCTGAATGAAACAATCAATACAAGTTGCCTTCAAGATAAGTTAAAAGGCTCATTCTACTCACACAAATTTTCCATCTTTACAATCGGATGCCATTCGTAATAATAGAGGTGGTCTGTCAGGCTGGCCATCAGTAAGGAAGAGTTGACTGCCAGTTCGGCCAGTGAAAATGGGGGCAAGTGGTGCAGCAATTTTCTCTAAGAAAGGCAGACCAAGAAGAAATGGAAGCTGAATCATAGAAGAAAATAAAATGGAGATCAGGTTTCGCAAATGATAAACACTCCTAATAATGATTAAATGTTCATTTCAAAATTCTTAAAACATCCATGTAGAAACTCATAAAATTTACAGATGATAAAATTTGTAGACAATCCTGGTAAGTACCACGGGGCCATCAATCAGAATGATAGAAAACGGATTTACCTTGACGATACATGAGTAATTCCTTCAACATCAGAAAACAAAATTCACATTCAAACACAAAGCAAGGGTATCAACAGTGTCAATTTATATATAATTTAACTCTGATCAATCAAAGGAAATCAGCAACCAAAGGCAATTTGTAAACGAACAACTTGAAATAGAAACACGTATAAGTATAACAAAACAAGTGCCAGATACACCATTTATTTGCATACCAAGAAAACTAGATAGACAAAATGCAAATTGCATGTCCCCATTCAACTACAATCATTGATAACATACCTGCTTCTTTCCTCTCACTCCGAGATGAGGAGTCGCCAAGGTAATAAAGTTACTAGGTTCCAACCCAGCAATCAACCCCGTATTTGAATAGCATGAGGTCTTGAGACTTGTGTTAGTAGAGCCCGCTATAACACTGGAGTCATCAGAAGAGGTATTTGGCATATAGAGAACAGCAATTGCATATCTTGAGAACAATCCACCAAGAGAATGGGCCAAAAAGGATATCTTTTTGAGGCTTTCTGTATTCCTCACAATCTCCATGACCTGTCAAAAGAACAAATAATAATCATACTTACAATAAAACTGAGATACTCATGCTTTACAAATTAAGCTATACACCAACATATTGTTTGATGGCACAAGCAGAGGAAAAAAGAAAAAATACATCCTTTTAGAAACTTACTTCCTCAGCTAGTCGTTTTCCAGCTCCATCGATTCCAGTGAAGGTTTTAGTGTACGTGTTACATGAACTTGCTGCACATAATAAGCAAGTTCAGTTCAAAATGCAAATGAACTTGTTTAGGTTTATGGCTATGAAAACAAGTAAAAATAAACGTTTAACGATAATCTCTCTATTCTCTTCCAGGCATCCTATTATACAAGTACATCCTTCACGGAACATCTGAACTTAAGCAGATGCCTAATTACCCCATTGTGCACATATGTTGTGTCAAATAGTAAAAAATATCTCTACTCTAGGATTATCCTTGCCAACCAAAGGATCCCCAAATAGTCAACATCACCAACAGCATCCAATTTTGGACCTCATGTTAGTCGAGAGAAAAGCAAAATTTCTAAATCTGCAGCACAGATGACATACCGTATATCAAAAATCTTTTCCCTAACCGCCTCTTCAAATCTGCTTCAAAGTATGTCCAGTCACTTGGGCTGCAATATTTAGAGTTTCCTCAAAGTCAATAATTTAATAATACACACGTCGGCATGCATTAAAAGAATATATCATGTCTCGTTCTCAAGTTATACTGCATATTACTCATGAAAATCATTATGCTTTCTTTTGAAAAACAAACTAAAAGAAATAATATCATCCTATGGCATTTTTCATTTGATAAGCATAATTACTTCATTCAAATTCGGAATATTTACAAGACGAATTCCACAAAAGGCAGAATAACCAGATTTTTGCATACCTAAAAAAATGAAGTGAAAGACACAAATAAAAGTTTATTGCTTTAATGTCATCCATATACTTTCATCCATTTAATTTTATTTCCATTTGAAATTTGATTTATCCCACTAATTTGAAATACTCTTCTAGATCCTATTTTTCAGATGTTCTCAATCAAATCATTTTCATGAACAGAGAAAAGATTCTCATTCTCTTCTTCCATGTACAAAAAATATGCATACCTTCCCATAATGCCGTGAACAAGAACAAGAAGATGGTCGGGTTCATCTTTCACATTAATATTGCCTCTTGGTGATGTTCCTTGAGTTGTACTCATGGCTTGAGCTTTGAGGTTTTGATGCTTTGTCCCTGCAGTGTTGAAGGTATGGCCTTTATAGTGAAGAATGAAACGAGTTTTTTGGTACCATCAACTATTTAATTCCAAGTACTGCCCCAAATCTGTAAGCTTCTCCAGTCAAGGTTTTTAATATTACACGGATGCATTAAGTTTTCTATATCACCAAAGCAAAACCCATTGCCTTCCCAATTGCCGACACCCCATAACATAAAATACGAAAAAAAATCCCTAAAATTCTTTCAGTCAGCACCCGCAAATCCAATTTCGGCAACGAGATCGAATCCTTAATATTCGTCTCCATATTTACCGTTAACATCATAGAAGAAATTAACTCCAATAATTTCTAAATAAAAAACAATTAATAAGAGGAAACGAAAAGGAGTACAAAAAATTACCGGAGAAGGTGTTGATATTCCAATTATTTCCTCGGAGATTATCAAACGACGAAGTAGAAGAGGAACAAGAAGTAGAAGACGAAGATAAATTGTTGTTATTATTTGAATTGGTAATTCGGTGATCTATAAATCGAGGGGAATAATGAAACAAAGGGGCTGTACTCGCCATTTTACACAAAAACCAGAGATCTCTATATATAGTAATCAATTCGCTAGGTGGAGTGAGGTGTTTGAAAAATGGGTTTTGACAGTTAAGCAACATCCGCCCCCACGCCACCCCCACCCCACTCCTAGTTTTCTCTTATCCTCTTTTTGTCCATACTCCAATTTCTGAATAGTGGAGATTTTTGGCCATTTTTCTATTTATGCATTACATTAAAAACGTTGGGCATTTCATAGCACATAAGTGGCATGCATGAAATCACTATAAACTTTTTCATTTCGGACACGTTACTCAAAAATTCAATTTGGAAACGCTACGCACAGTTTATGATTATGATGTGTACAATTTTTGTGTGATCCGATTATTCACAATCTCTTGCTCGAGATCATGGTAATCTCGAGCACTCTCCTATGACTTGAACATCTTCGAGTTTATATGGTCGAGCTCGTCACTCTCTCCCCTGGGCCACAACATCATCGGGTTTGCATAAGCGAGTTTGAGCTTGGGTTCAAAGCCCTTATTTCGAACTATATATCTCGATC